TGCTAATTATGTGATCTTGGTTAAGTCGTCAACCTTTTTGAACCTGAGCTTGTTTGTCAAAAAAGAAAAATAATATTGAATTCTTGTTATGAAGATTAAATAAGAGGAAGTATATAAAAGTTTTCTGTAAATTGGGAAAAGTCATTATACAAACTGTGGTTATTAGTAGCCCAAAGTCACATAGCTAACTGATAGCAGAGTCCGTATAAAAATCTAGAACCGAATCCTACTGTAGTATTTTTTCCACTCCATCAATGGTTATATTCCCCTCTCCAATGAAACCTTCCTTTTCTTCTGTCCCCCCCACTTTACATACAATGCATATGGGAAAGTACAGCACTTTGAAACATGATCTTGCTTTTAACTCTCTACCGCTTTGATTCTAATTTATTCTCATTCTCATTCATATTTTTAGTAAGATTTAAAGAAAATTATGTCTATAAACAAAAGATGCTTAAACCTATAAATATTTAAGTGACTTAGTTTAATGATTGGGAGGTACATGAGAGTAAGCAATTATTGAACAGATATAGTTAAAACAGACTAAGAAATCATTGATAAATAAAGGTAAACATAATTTCCACATCTTTAATTCCATTATGTTTTAATTGATCTGGAAAGCTACTTGCCTTTTTGGTCTTAAATACCTAAGAAGTACAATTTGTCATAGAAGTCCTAAATGAAATATGCAATCAAAATTCCCCTCAATTCTGAAAATCTGAAAAAAAGTCTAGTTTAGCTCAAATGACAAAGAAAATGTAAGTACTTACAATGCGAGTGTCACACAAAGAATCAAAGGCCCCCACAAATCCCCTACAAGGCAAGAAAGAAGATGGATAAGAAGCAAACTTGTAATATTTTCTATCTTTATTCCAATATCTACCTCTCCCACTCTTGGAATTCAGACATCAAGGCTCTCTTTGTCTGCCTAAGCCTTCCCACCTCTCTATCCCACTACTTGCCCTCCCTGTTCCCTAATCCTGAATGCGCTTCTTCACGTATCTTTTAAATCATCCTTCTCTCCATGCACTAAGCTACGTTCCAGCATGCTGTAATGAAATACCAATGGACAAGCAGTCAGAAGACGCAGGTACCCCACCCCGCACCCTCAGAAAAAAGACTATAGCCAAGACACTTTACCAATCTGAGACTGTATTAGACAAGGCAAGTATAATCATGCTCATTTCACAAATATGAAAAATGAACTAAGAAGGAAGTGACTTGCCCAAGTTTACTTTTTTATTTTTTAGAGACAGAGTCTCACTCTGTTGCCCAGGCTGGAGTGCAATGGTGTGATCATAGCTTACTGCAGCCTTGAACTCTTGGCCTCAAGCAATCCTCCTGCCTCGGCCTTCCGAGTTGTCAGGATTACAGGTGTGAACCACTGCATCTGGCAATTTGCCCAAGTTTATATGTAGAGGTAGCACCGGAGCCTAGGTCTTCTGATCCTTAGTCCCAAAGTTCTTGCCACCCTGTCACATTGCTTCCCTTTTACAATTATCACACTGAACTAATATGGAGTAGCGGTTCTTCTAGGTGAAAAAACAGTCCAATATTGGTAATTTCACAAGGTTAAACTTTAACAACATGAAAGCTTTTTGAAAATTATAAAAGGCTCTGACAACATCAGATCTAGCTAACAGGGGTCCTCAATCAAAAGCTGTTGAGTGGTTAGTATGCCAACAGCTCAGTAACACACAACTTAGTGCACAATTACTTTCCTCAACCAATACAAAAAAAAGGTAGAGGCCGGACATGGTGGCTCACACCTGTAATCCTAGCACTTTGGGAGGCCAAGGCAGGAGGATTGCTTGAGGTCAGGAGTTCGAGACCAGCCTGAGCAAGAGTAAGACCCCATCTCTACCAAAAATAGAAAAATTAGCCAGGCGTGCTTGTGCGTGCCCATACTCCCAGCTACTCAGGAGGCAGAGGCAGGAGGATCGCTGGAGCCCAGGAGTTTGAGGTTGCTGTGAGCTAGGATAAGGCCACTGCACTCTAGCCCAGGTGACAGAGTGAGACTCTGCCCTGAAAAAAAAAAAAGGTACATATCCCACATTTAACTTTAACCTCATATGTACATAACTTTTACCTAAGAGAGGTATACATATGTATACACTTAATATTATTTTTTATAAGTAATTTTGACACCACTGCAGAAAGTTTAGAAAAGATATAATTATAATCTTCTCACTCTAATAAAACGATTGTTGATTTTATTAATTTTTTTTTTTTTTGAGACAGTCTCACTGTGTTGCCCAGGCTAGAGTGCCGTGGCGTCATCCTCACTCACAGCAACCTCAAACTCCTGGGCTCAAGCGATCCTCCTGCCTCAGCCTCCTGAGTAGCTGGGACTACAGGCATGCGCCACCATGCCCGGCTAATTTTTTCTATATAGTTTTAGTTGTCCAATTAATATCTTTCTATTTTTAGTAGAGACAGGGTCTCGCTCTTGCTCAGGCTGGTTTCGAACTCCTGAGCTCAAACAATCCGCCCGTCTCGGCCTCCCAGAGAGCTAGGATTACAGGTGTGAGCCACCGCGCCTGGCCAATTTTATTAAATCTTTTTAACTGATCAACTGAAAAACTGAATTCAAGTACAGTCATGTGCCACATAATGACATTTCAGTCATTAACGCATGACACATATGACAGTGGTCCCATAAGATTATAATGCAGCTGAAATATTCCCATCACCTAATGACCAACCCTCGGGTGTTTGTGGTGATGCTGTTATAAACAAACCTACTGTGCTACTAATCGTATAAAAGTATAGCACACATAGTTATGTACGATACATAATACTGTACTTGATAATGATAATAAATGATGTTACTGGTTTATGTATTTTCTATATTTTTATAGTTAGAGTGTATTCCTTCTACTTACTAAAAAAACAAGTTAACTGTAAAACAGCCACAGACGGTCTTTCAGGAGGTATTCCAGAAGAAGGCATTATTATAGATGACAGTTCCATGCATATTATTGTCTATGAAGACCTTTCAGTGGAACAAGATGTGGAGGTGGAAAACAGTGACATTGAAGATCCTGACCCTGTGTGAGCCTAGGCTAAT